CACCGTCTTGGGGGGTGACAGGCATCAGCTGGGGGCAGTTGCTCCCGGCCTCCCCCAGCCAGCAGCCAAGGGTAGATCTGGTGCTGGGGCGGGGGCAGGATGGATGGGGAGCCCTGCCCCTCCCCCAACACTGTCCCCCGCAACGCTGCCCCCAGCTTAAGCCCCCGCGCCAGCCGCCCACACACACCCGGCCGCGTTTCCTCATCGCCTGTGAAGAGCCCGCTTAGCCCGTCATCCCGCTCCGGTGCCTCGTCCTTCTCCAGCTGGGGGCACAGTGGGGCCATGAAGCAGCGGGGACCTCCCTATGCACCTGCCCCATAGGGCTGCTCTGTGTCCCTGAGCCAGGCCCAGGCCCTGTGCTCCAGCACTGGGACAGGGAGGTCAGGTCCTAGCCTGTGTGGGGTTCGGGGCATGGGCAGGTCCCAGTGCTCTCACCAGCTCGTCACGGGCCTCGTACTGCTTGAGCTGGTTCAGGAACTCGAGGTGCCGCTTCTCCTCCTCCAGCTGGGCCACGGCCTCCTGCCACTGCTGCAGGCGCTGCTGGGGGCCCGCCAGCTGCTCCCACAGCCACTGGTTCCCCTGGCCCAGCCGCTTGGCCTGAGCCCGCAGCTTCTGCTTCTCCGCCTCCAGCGCCCCGACATGGGACGACAGCGCCAGCAGGAGCTGTGAGGACAGGGGTCAGTGGGGCCGGCCGTGCCCCCTCCCGCCAGCTCCTACCCCCTCCCCAGCTCTGACTCCCCCAAGCTCCAGGCTGGGGCTGGAGCAGCCCCAAGGCCCCCCCAGCTCCTGCCCCTGTGCCCTGGCAGCCCCACACCTGCGCCCCCCCGAGCCCCAGCTCGATGCCCTCCAGGATCCTGCAGACGAGCTCGTGCTTCTCCTCCAGTAGCTCCAGGGCCCAGTCCCCGGCAGACGTGGGTTCCAGCTCCGTCCCAGGCACGGCATCGGGACAGCAGTGCAGGCTGCCCTGCAGCTGCAGCAGGATGGCACAGTTCTCACCGCGCAGCGCTTCCAGCCCCTTCACCACCTGCCGTGTGCTGGCCACGATGTCGTCTGCTGTTGGCCGGCCCCCAGTGCCCTCACCCAGCCCTGCCACCACCGACATGGTGTTGCCTGCCTGCCCACCTGCTGAAGCAACACAGTCCTCAGCACCAGGCCAAGGGGCAGGTGGGGGTAGCAGGGCAGGGACACGGAGGCGCTGGCAGGTCCCTGTGGGTGGGCACAGGCGGGGCGTGGAAGCTCCATGGCCCAGGCGGCACCAGACACAGCCCCAGCCAGAGGCACGGACGGGCCCCAGCTTGCCCTGCGCAGGGTGGAGCACGGGAACTGGTCCTGTCAGCTGGTGCCCAGGGAGCGCGTCTGCACTCGCTGGCCCACAGCACACATGTGAGCAAGCCCACGTGTGCACGGCTGCAGGCACGGAGCAAAGCGCCGCTTGCCCCCAGACGGAGGTCCCCAAACCCTGGCCACGGCGTGCAGCCTGGGCACGGGGGCCACGCCATGGGGCCTGCCCAGGACCCAGCCAGGGCATCAGTGCACC